CATGCTTGTAGCGACAGTGGAGAGGAAAACCTCCCTTTTAACAGGAAGAAACCTCCAACAGAACCAGGCTCAGCGGTCCCTATGTCCTCCAGCAGTCTAAGCCTATAGCAGCAGAACTATAGAGATAGCTCAGGATAACCTGAGCCACTCTAACTAGAAGCTTTATCAACTTTTATTTAAAAAAAAAAAACATTTATACGTTGCTCTGCAATATATATATATATATTTGTAACGTATTTATGTTCTCATTTTTATTGTTAATAGAATGTATGTTTGTATTGAGGACTGAGGGTAGATTCATTGCTTTGTGTGTTTTGGCTCTGGGTCTGTTGAAAAGTCTCTAACTGATGTTTTAGGGGAAAATGCAGGATGTCATGAATTGATTTATCCCTCAGCCACTGACCTGTGTTTTACCCAACAGGGTGGGAAGATTCCTGTCCGATGGACGGCACCAGAGGCCATCCAGTACCGTAAATTCACCTCCGCCAGTGATGTGTGGAGTTATGGCATCGTCATGTGGGAGGTCATGTCCTACGGGGAGCGGCCCTACTGGGACATGTCCAATCAAGACGTGAGTAACTACAGACAGTAAACGGCGGGCCACGAACTGTCTGACATTCTGTTAATAGATCACCTCGTAAAAAACAGGGCGCAAGGATTAAAAAAAAAAACTCTTAAACAGCTACTAGATTTTTATTTAAAGCTCAGCTTTCATTTTTTTCTGAAGGAAAATTATTAAAAATGTTTAAAGAGCAGAAGCGAGAGTTAATTTTATTAGCCTTAAACATTTGAAATAGAAATTGGGCCTTTCCCCTTCGTATTATTACATAAAACAGATCTTCTAATCACAGATGGAGCGTCAGATTATGCCACCAGTCAGCTCCCATTGGCTCTCTGTGGTTAGAATAACTTCCACTGGTTGATGGGTTGCTTATCAGTGCTGATGGTGTTCCACAAGGCTGCTGGTTTAGCTTTAGGTATTGATTCAAATCCATTCTGAGCAAAATGAAAACATTTTCTCTCCATTCTCTACATCTAAACTGATTGAGCTTGAGTTATTTTGCACAGATAATTGGCAAAAAAAAAAAAAAAACTTTAGGCTATAGATGTGGAAAGCTGGTAGAGGCATTCTGCTGTAATTGCAGCAATAGATGATTCTCAAAAGGATTGACTCAGGGAAGCCAATGTTAATGCACACCCTACTTTCCAGAGACCAGGTTTGAAACTTGGTATTTTTTTACCTTTTTATTTTAAAATGTTCCTTTATTTGTTGTTGTGTTGACACACAAGATACAAAAAAAACCCTGAAAATGTTAAATGTGTAATGTTGGGTGTACAGACGGAAAAATAGCATAAATATCGAAGCAAGGTTGATGCATCGGTGTACTGGAGGCTCTGCTGAGGAGCCTGAATGAAATGTGGCATGAATGGAAGAACACAGGATTCCCTCAGATCTCTGCGTATTTATTCGTGATTGAGTCCTCCTGTTAAAATGTAGTGAATCATAGAGGAAAAACTCCCAGTTTGTGGCACACTTTTAAAGCTGTCTAACAAGACTCTGGTGGGAGCTGCTCGTCAGAGACGGTAACCTTGGGCTTAATTAGTTCAAGAAGTCTGGCTGTAATCATGCACGCCTGAAGGGGAGCATGTATTAAAGGGAGAGCATGCATTCGGCTTGGTTATTAATACAAATAACCAAAGTGGAAAAACACTTGTTGTGCAAACTGCTTTTTGATACCAACGTCTATGAATGAATAAAAATGAGGAAAATGAATCAGTTACAGTGAAGACTGTCTCATGTTATAGATTTGAAGATAAATGTGTTTTTTAGGATCTTAAGCTTTTTGAATACAGCTTTAATCGTAGAAACAGTAACGTTATAATCCTTAAAGCACGGCTACAAGCCGAGGACATGTGGTCCTGGTCTAAGTTCGTCACTCTTTTTGTTTTATCTACTGATTAACTAAACGAGGCGGAGTTCATAAAAATGTTCATGTATAACAAACATATTATTACAATTTGTTCTAATTATTGTTGTTTTCTAATCCACTAGAACTAGAATAGCAGCCCACTTCCCTGCAACTCCCTGAAAAATCCCCTCCATCTTCCAGCCTCTTGCATTTTGTTACTCTGACTCCACCCTTTCACTGAGTTACAGGGTCTGACCAGAAGATGACGCGTCTCTTTAGATCTTAAAGTCCACAAATCATCACAGAAAGAATATTTTAGTACAAAGATTGATGTTTAAAAAGGAATTGTAGGGGACCATCCAAGGACCCATCAAGGAAAGTGGGAACTACTGTATATAAATGAAGGTGTGATTATAAAAATCTACAGATTAAAGCAGCTTAGTGGTGAGTTGTGTTATTCTTAGAA